CTGAGGAGATGCATGGCAAGAGTGGCCAAAACATAGAGAGATGGAGGATCGAGTGGGCAGAAATGCTCAACTATGTCGATCAGTATGGGCGCGCTTGACGAATTCGCGCGCATCTAGGAAGATTGCGCCCTAGAGAGGGGATAGTGTCATGAACGCTTAGTAATGACACGCAGAATAGAGTAGAACCTTGTAGAAGGCGCTGGAATGCGCCTGAAGGTTCTAGGACTTGTAGTGACTCAGGTTATGACTCGACTGTGACTCATAAGGAACATTGTAGAATAGTATAGAACGTTATGGTAGGTACTGGAAGGTTCTAGTACAGTACCTGTATAGTAGTATATAAGACGCTAGCTGAAGTCGATGGACTTCAGCTCGTCCATTTGTTATACACGCCCTTAGCGCCATAACGATTGACGGCTCGGTTACGGCCTTTTAGACTTAAGACTAAGACACCGCTACCTACACAAGAACGACACTCGACCTAGTGCGCCTAGAGTCTTAACTCTCACGCCTAAGTCACACGACACAGCCTAGACGACAACGACAGACTTTACGCCAAGTCTAACAACCACGACGGTTCGGTACCCGCCTAAGGTACCACGATCTAGGGGTTCTTACATACGGCCGGCTCCGGCTCCAACGCGGGAAGCGACACATCCAAGCACTCGAACAACACCGGCGCCATCGTCGGCGGCGTCGTCGGGGGTATCGCCTTTCTCGCCCTCGTCGCCGTTGGCTTGTTCTTCGTGAGGCAGAGTAGACGGAAGAAGGTGCAGAAACCAATTTTCGTCAGCAAGGAGGCGTACGCGATTGAACCCTTGTCGCCGCACGATGGTAATCGGCCATCATCGGACCCTGCGTCCGCCTGGGGTGGCGTTATGTCAATAAGTCCTCGTTCCCAGAAATCCTTTACAGATTCAACAAGAAGGCACGCCCGGATTCTTTTCTCGAGTTCATTCTATCTGACTCACATACCCGTTTATCCGTGCAGGTCAACCCCGGCGCCCGAAACAGACGCCGGTCCACTTCCAATCGCACCGCCTCCTGAGTACCATCAAGTTTTCCGCGCTCCTCGGAATACAGCCGCAGCAACCGCATCCAGCTCTTCTTCATCTCGACGACTCCCACTCCCTCCTAACATAGATGCAAATGCAGTAAACACACCGAACCGTGACGTGAAACGACCTCTTGTTGTCCTTTAACCAACAAATCAGATTGCATCGGACTAGCCCCAGTAGCTAATGCCTGCATTTTTCTTTCTGCCCCTCTTGATGACCACGGGCAGCAGCAACATAACTGCCTCGTATGGCGACGATGGATTGATTATATTATCTGTAGAGTACACTGTATACATTATGATCAGATCAACATCACGTCCCTTGTCGATCGAACACCTCGAAATATGCAGTGTACTCCTCGGGCGTCATCATCTCCTGATGCTCCTCCGTCACCTGCGAGAACGCCATAGGCTCCCCGTTAACTATGTCACACGACTTGTGAGCAAGGGAATCTTGAATATATGGAATCGGGACATACCATATACGATGGGATCGTCTGCTGGTGTCCCATCGAGTGCAGTAGGAGGGGGTACACCTTCCATATCCTCGTCCATCTCCATCATCTCCTGGGTTGAGGTGGTGCCGTTCGTTTCCGGCACGGTAGGACTGCCTCGTAGCCGTTTTGAGTCAGATCCCGGGCCCTCGTCGTCCCTTGATCGGGATCGTTTACGATAATCATTGAGGGAGTTTAAGAGTTCAACGTTGGGTTTTACGTCTTCGTCTTCGTCGTCTTCTGGGCTGAAGTCGCTGCCTGCCCCCGGTATCGCAGGTGTACCGTTACTGCTCCCTGATGCAGCTAGGGATGCATAGTATTGGTCGTAATCTGAGGGGGAAGGTCAGCTACCACCATGAAAGGTATTGTCATAGATGCGGTACTCACAGTCTGCATCGTTGGCCCCAATATCCGGTTTAACGTCCTCCGCGATTGGGGCCATGACCGGCTGCTGTTCCTTCCGCACTGTTCCAAGTCCGCGCAGAATCTCGTCGTTCGAGCTACTAGCGACCGACGACTCTTGGGCGGCGATGCGTGCACTCTCCTTGATACCAAGCGCGGTGAGGTCACCAGATATCGTACTTTTCAAATGCCATGACGGTAGCGCGTTTTGTTGCTGGCGCGCGGCAGCCTGCGCTTCCCTCTGCTTCCGCTTCGTCTCTTCGTCTGCGCCGTCCAGGCTGAGCACAACACCCACGCCCTCATCCTGCCGCTTGGTACCGTTGGCTCCGGCGATCTTCAGTTCGCCTCCCGCACCCCCGTTCGCGGCAGCACCGCCGGCCTGTGTTCCATCTGCATCCACGGCCGGCCGGCCGTGTATCTTCACCCATCCCACGATGTCGACAGCGGGGAGGACCATGGACTCTGTTTTTCGAAGGCCTTCCCGGATGTGAAACATCGCAGCGTTGAAGCGCTGCATGAGGTCGCTGGTGTCCGACGACCCGTTCCGGTCGTTCTCGATGAGTTCCCCTTGGCAGTCATCGCAGACAAAGCATCCTCTGGAGAAGTCCATCAGCTTTGCGGCGTCAATGGTGGTGAAGGGCTTCGAGCACTGGTTGCAGATGTAGCCTTTTTGGTCCAGTTCCTGCAGAAGAGGATTGTCAGTCGATCGGGTCTCACCATGACGGCCAGAGTCACATTTCGTAAAGACGAGTCGATAGTGGCGTGCATTTGTTTGATGCGCCACTTGACGACGTTGCAGAAGTTCTCGTAGTCGACGTAGTAGTACGCCTTACTCGTCGCGCGAGTGGCTCCTTCTTTCAGCTCATTCTGGCGATATCTGCCATTCCGTTCGATAAGACATTGTTATATGCATAGAGCTTGACCCGAGGGTACATACACACGAATGAGTTTATGCTCGCCACACAGTCTGTTCAGATCCTTGCGGATGTCAGACTCGCCGACGCCCATCCGCCCAGCCAGCTCGTCGATCTTCATGCTTTCGAGGGTACGCAGTGAGCACAGGGGTCAAGGAACAAGGAGGGCATCAAAAACCACCGCCCGCAAACTCCCAGACGAACAAAGGCAATCAGGACCTTTGCTTACACTGGATAACGGGACAGTAGGTCCAGGATGATGATGCATTGCGGCTCGTAGAACGCGCGCGCAACGTGCTGTACGAGCTTCCTCAGGGTCTCCTTCTCCTCTGGGGTCGCCATCCCGCCAAGTCGTCCAGGACCTGCGTCTTACAGAGGCGCTCGAGCTAGTGTGTCCGTCGTAGCTTGCGACGATGATGTATTTACGCGGTGCGAACGATCGTCCACAGGCTCGAGCCGCAGATAAGAGCAGGTCTGAAGTAGATTGGCGGGGTCCAAGGCGTCGACGGTATCCACAAGGCCGGTCAGAACGTGGTCGCTGTAAAACCCTTTGTCGGAGGGGTCAGACACGACATATGCTAGGGTTAGGGTTCTCTCACACGCGACAATGAGTGTCCGGTCCATGCATTGGATTGATCCTATCTACGGCAAGTACTACCAGATGACGAGAGCGATGAACAGATAAATTAGATGCGGTAAAGAGCGACGAAGGTTCCACAGCAAGCAAAGCACAGTGAAGGTATTGATCGAATGTACACCAGCTGCAAGCTGACGACGAGTAAAGATCAGCAACGAGGTGATTACTCCATGACGGGTGTGATGCGGAGGGGCATGACGGCTGGCCGGCCGTCCGCGATGGGTTGCAAAGTAGGCGCAATCTTGGGAACGACGGCGCTTCCGACATCCTCGAACTTGAAGGACCGGATGAGCATCGCCAGCATGACCTTGAACTCGAGCACAGCTAGGGTAGTAAATCAACATCCCAAACTCGATCCGGGTACAGGCATTAGACGAACCTAGTCTGAACCCGAGACAGTTGCGCGGGCCGTCGCTGAAGGAGAGGAGTCCGCTCCAGCCGCGAGGCAGGTCGGCGGGGGAGGGGATGCCACCGGGAGTAAGCCATCTCTCTGGCTTGAACTCCGTTGCGTCAGGCCCCCAAACCGTAGCGTCCGTGTTGATGGTTTTGAACGGAATGATGATAATCTACGAATAGGCGATTCAGTGGGCAGCAGATCTTTACCTTCCTCTTCAATGCGTACCTGTCCAGCCGAGACGTGAACGGAGTCCATGACCGTGCCGTCTGGCTTTGTAATCGGCTTGCCGAGAGGAATGACATCGTCCTGGGTGGTTACGCGCTCTGTCTGTGGCGAGGCGGGATGTACTCGGAGCGCTTCCCGGACGACGGCGTCGAGGTATTCGAGTTTCTGGATGGAGTCGTAGGAAAGGCTTCCTTGCTGGCGAATTTCGGTGCGGAGTTTCTCCTGCGCCGCCGGGTTGCGAGATAAGGCAAGGAGCGTGAAATTGATAGATCCTGCAGTCGTCTCGTGGCCGACCTGAGCGATAGGATGCCTCAGCCTCGGGACGTCTATTGTTGGCGCGGATTGGCACTCACCATAGTGAAAGTGATGATGTTTTCGATGATTTCTTCGTCCGAGAGACCGCCTTTCTCCTTCTCAACGCTGCGCAGCAGCATGCTCAGTACGTCATTGCCCTTCACAACGCTGTCGAGACGAGCGTTGGCGATTAGCTTGTGGGCAATGCGGCGCACGATTTGGTTGGTGACTAATGGATGATGTCAGTACGCGTGTTTATGATCGTCGAAGGAAGATGAGGCATGTCCGCACTAACTTCCTTGTGCACGTAAGGCGGGAATCGGCAGATCCGTGAGCCAGGGCAGCATCCGTATGACCGGGAGCGCAACGAACATCTGTTCAGATGTGGCGTCCACGATGATGTCGTGCCAGCTCGTGAAAATTCGCCTCGCATCTTCGGAAGGAGGGGTGGACTGAGCGCTAAAGTCGTGCCCAAAGGCGACGCGACCGATAATATCCAACGCGCATGCGGAGATGTACGGGGCTATGTTGATGGAGTTCCCGTTGACGGATTTTGACATGATATCGGTCATCAAGCGTGATTCGAGCTGTGACGAGATGTCAGCACGAGCTGCTCAGGGCATTCAAGAGATTTCGAGGGCGTTACCTTCTCAGCACAGTCGAAAACGTCACCGGCCATACGTTTGATACTTTCCGGACTGAACGACGGGGCCAAAACGCGGCGCATACGCTTGTGTTGTTCGCCGAGAGCCCATACGACGCCTTTACCGATTAAATTAGCCGCTGGCTTCCGGAGAGCGTCGGCCATGACATAGGTGTCTGTGTTCTGCAAAATATGTTGGGCGGACACGCGACTGCAATATCATCAGCTTTGGGATAACATCACAACGTGAACTGAAACTGACTCAGCCGCGATAATCTGGTGTGATGAGGCGTTCGGTGAGATTGCGTCACAAGTTCATAACGAAGAGCAACTGACGATATCGGGGTGGCGGAGGGCGGCCTTGATCCTGAACAGCGTGCCTATAACGCTGGCCCATTTGGAGTGCATCTCGGCCGCGCCATGATCCCAGACCTGGCGCTCATGACCCCAGATCCAGCTTGCCTCCTCCGATGGTGGGGAAGGTAAGCCAGGCACGTCGTCACGGCGAGTCGTGAACAACTTGCGCAGGAAATATACACCCAAGCCCACGAAGACGAGGCTGGCGGATTGCACGTAGAGACTGTGGATGATAGACATCTTACAGAGGCCTTGCTAACATGCGAAGGGAGAATACGCCGAGAACGAACGGCGTGAAGGGGAGGTCGGAAATGCGAGCCCTGGCGGTGAGAGTAACTGCTTTTAAGAGCGCTAAGCCATACTGAAACGTAGAACTCCCGCGACGAAAACTGGAAGCCCATGTTCGCAGTGAATTCAGGGCCAGATGGTCGGCAAGAGCCCTCAGAAGCACCATCCTTTCCATTTCGGGCGCGGCAGTCGGTAGCAACCACGTCACGTGACCGTCGAAGTGTTCTCCAAGCGCCGGCTGCTGTGCTTTAAGCTTACACGCGGTGTACACTTTGCCCTCAGCTATCTCTAAGATGGACGAATGTCGCCTTCATCGTGCCTCAGCGATACACAGGAGCTACACGACTGGGAATACGAGCTCAAAACTAGGGTTGCACTCAACACAGTATGGCCGCTTTCTTTCCAGCCAATTGCAATATCCCCAGTCGAGATTGGTCGAATTCTAACATGGGAAGGCAATCAGAATTGATCCGTCGATTGAATCGAGATAACCTCTTTTGACGGGTGACATGACACGACCCCTGCATGACCCCACCGTGGCCCCATACTTTTGACGGGATATCGCGACATGCCATCTTGATTCTTGAACGCCTCACCTCAACCTCGGCTAGCAGTGAGCAATATTGCTGCTGGAGTCGGCACGTCCGACTTCATATTGTTGCATGTGACAATCGCTGCGGGTTCTAATTTACGCAATATCTCACCCTGAGCTCCAGTTTCCAGATCCGAGGGAAACTCCTGGCTCTTTCATTTCGCGCTCGCTTGCGGTCGTGCCCCGTGTCTCGGCCTAGCCGACGTCGTCAAAAGGATGAGCTCAGCGCCCCTCGCTAGAGACTTCATCCCTCCTGCCCCTGCGAGGTCCTGCTTACCTCGATCAACGCCATGGTAGACTGGAACTCAACTGAGGAGATCACCAGGGACGCTCGTGAGTACGCGTAATTCAAGTCACCGGAATTTGTCTCCCTCTGACAGCTGGACGATAGAGGTATTCAATAATCTCGTCCACACCGTCATCGGCCTTTATCTGTGGGAGTGGGCGAGCACGTTGTGGTTCGATTGGGAGATTTACACTAGAAAACGTACCTTTCGTTGGCCTATGGTACGCGCATGCGTAGTCTTTAGTTCGACCTGCTGCTCACGGCATATCACCCAGATTTTCTATCTGTTGAACCGCTATACCATGGTCGGGACAGCCATAGGAATGCTCATATCTCAGAACTCGAAAGAGTAGGTGCCCGCGTTACCACCCTCAGCAGGGGACTCACCGCTGACCTCTGTATTGATGAACAGCCCGACCATGAACTGCACGGCGCTGTATACGTATATTCAGTTCGTAGGCGATGCGTCGGTGGCATTGCCGAGTCTGAACCTATCCATCCGTACCATGGCCGTCTGGTCTGATAACAAATTCGTCAAGTACGGCCTCATTCTGGTTATCCTCGGGCACTGGGCTATTTTGTTCCAAGGTATGCTCGTTATTTGCATGCCTACACGATGCCGCAATACATATTTGCCCCTGATCAGGTCTCTCGGTCACCGCCATCGGCGTTCCCGGCTCTGGATGCACGATTGCAAAGACGAATCTGAAGATCAGCATCGTTCTGTTCATTTATACGATGTCCTTCGACTTCGTCACTATGCTGCTCAACTTGGTCAAGCTCGCGCGCCCTGCGGCCGGACATAGCTCACTGACAAGGCTGCTATTCACCGATGGCCTGGTTTACTTCTTCATTGCGTACGTATTGGTCCTAGTCATCGTACAGGGCGCTTTGATGAGCGCCAATGCCATGCTGCAGCTTCGTTTTCAACACGATAGGTACCGTGTTCATGGTTCTGAGTCTCAATCCGGTCATGAGTATCATTTTCGTCGTGCCTGCTGCTGTTGGCTCCACGGTGAGTCCTATTCCCAGGGCTGGAGCATCATTATATTAATCGATTGCCAGATTGTCGCTGGACGAGCGTTCAGACGCCTCAGTAATTTTGGACAACAAGCTGTGAGCGTATAGTGAGTGACTGATATGCCACACACGAGCACTCCTTGACATCATCTCCGTTCAACAGTAGCGCTAGCGGCAGTCACGCGATTGGATCCGCCAGCGGTGGTCAGCCGAACCCAGTCCCGCGCCCGTCGCCTCGTGGCGTTCAGATCAGAGCAAGTCTCACCGAGCAACCAGTCTACCTGTACTCACATCTACATTGCTTAGATGGAAACTTTTACCGTCGCCGATGATCAAAGCGCCGGACAAAGCGAGTTGGACATCGAGGCTCAATCCGCGGAGTATAAGCGAAAATCTATGGAATAGTCAACCTCTAATACGACGTCCCGGCACCCGCTCTCTCGTTCAACATCACGCCTGCGCTCGTTAGATCATTGTCAGGGTACACCCTCGTAATATAGGCTATATACTTACATGAACATAATGGGAGCTCCTAGAGTTAGGTTAGGGCTACATACTCTCCTTTGCACCACCATCGACCAACTGCATGTGTAGTCATGAAGGAAGCCCCGTAGCTCTTGGATCCATAGCTTTACCAAGTGGACAGAGACTGGCAAATAGGCTCGTCAAGGTCAGTTATCCGCATGCGGTCTCCGGGTTCTTCTCTGAGGTTGTCACCGCTAGGTCGCAACGTATGAACACGGGGCGGCGCTCTTCGGTGGACCGCCGAACACCTACCATTATGCCTTGTACTCGCAATGGGCACAAGGCGATTGGGGGATGATAATCACTGGAAACGTGCAAGTCTGCAGAGACCATTTAACGTTGGGCCGCGATATGGTAGTGCCCCCGGTTTTGAATGAGAAGACAGTCGAGCCTTTCCAAACACTTGCGGCAGCGATACACGGCTGCTCCTCGGCAGAGTGCTCCCCATCGTGCAATCATCATAGGGCGACTGCTATCATGCAACTCTCTCATGCTGGCCGGCAGTCCGCCAATATCATCGGCGGACGCAAACCGTTAGCGTCCCCGCTTGCGCCGAGTGCCGTTCCTCTCGGTCGAGGTCGCGATGCGGGCGTCATCTCTTCTCTCGTGCACGCGGCATTATTTCAAACTCCAAGAAGGATGACTGCTTGGGACATTGAAGCGGTTATGGACGCCTTCGTGCGAGGTGCTTCACTCGCGCACGAAGCTGGATTTGACGGGGTAGAATTGCATGCGTCACACGGTTGTACGTAGTCTCCGCGAACACCGCCACTGTACTGACTACCTCTCATGCTTTGTTCACAGACCTATTAGCGGAGTTCATCGATCCCAAGGCAATGTCCATCCTGCATACGAATCTCGCTGCCGACTGACGACGTGAAGTACCTAGACGAATCTCCGCACCGACGAGTACTCAGTTAACCCTGCTGAGAACTCCTTGCGCCTACTCCGTACTATTATAGACCGGATTCGCGAGCAGGTTCCGCGTACATTCATCCTAGGCGTCAAGGTTAATGCAGCTGATTACTCGAATGCGCGCCAATCTGTACCCTCAGCCGGTGCATCACGGCCCGATCATCAGGTTTTCAGTCAAACAGTCGAAGACGGGACCGAAATCCAAGCTCACGAACATGTCAAGTTGATGGCATCCTGGAGGACCATAGACTTCATCGAAATCAGTGGAGGGGACTACGAGAACCCTGGTACGTCGCACGTCTGGGCAGTGGCTGGGGCATTAGGCTCTTTTATCATCTTTTGCGAGATGTCACCGCTTTAATGACATAGGATTATTCAGATTTCATGGCGGATGCATCAATCACAACACCTCGACAAGCGCTATTCTCTCGCTTCGCCTCTCGTGTCAAAGCCATCGTCTCACAGGAGGGACCAACCGTGAATGACGGAGGTTCAGTACGCACGGACGACCCTGGCCAGTATCCTCGAACCTCGGCGCCGCTCATACTCCTCACAGGAGGTTTGCGCGCTCCTCTTCAAATGTGCAGCGCCCTGCAGCAGGAACACGCCGACTTGTTGGGGGTCGGGCGCATGGCCGTTCTATGTCCCGACCTCCCTCGTGTGATGTCCCGCGATGGAAGAGCAACTGGCGATGCCGACGATGCTGCAATGCCTTTCGCTGACATCCCCAAGCTTCACCTCAACGGTGCCTGGACAAGGTTTCTACCGAAGATAAAGCTGGTTGGCGCGGGTGCTGAAATGGCATGGTACATCGTGGCTATGCGCAGCCTCGCTTTTCGGCAAGAACCCGACCGCAGGATGGGCAGCGTTGGGGCTATCATTCGGATGTGGTCCTGGGTCTCCCCGTCGACAACGACGAGGCGCGGGGACGCCTGGACGTGGTCGCCTGTTGTTCACTCTGTGTGGCTTGCGGTGGTTCTTATCGCAACCTGGGTAGGTGCGACAACACCATACTTAAGCTTTTCCCCGGATGCTTCGGCCCTTGCATGCTCTTATGAAGAACTTGAAGACGCATGTATATAAACACCTGATCTCTAATATCGTGCGAATTCCAAGGGTCAAGTTTGGCCCCGCGTATCAACCTAAGGCTCAGGTTCCAACATCTTCGTCCGCAACGGTAACAAACTCGTATGCACAACGCACGCCCCAACGTCCTGCAATGGCAAAACGGTTGAGCACTGACGGTCGCATGTGCGCACAGCCTCGAACTGCCCTCGAAGTCACTGATTCGACCATGATAAGCAGATCCGAGGATTCTCCACAGATCTCGGCCCGGACTGCCCTATTATGGATGCTCGTCATGCCCACAACTTATCGATAGAGCGATGGTCCGGGGCCGATATATGCCCCGGACGTGCCTCTTAAAGGGTTTCCCAACCATCGCACCGTCTACGCAAACTTACGACCCCACACAATCCCACATCCTTCTGTCACGTACACGAACCATGCCCGTCCCTGCCACTGTGAAGCTTAACACCGGCGCTGAGATGCCCACCGTCGGCCTCGGTACGTAAACCCATTGCAATTCAGAAGCACGCAATCGATCTGAGATCTTTCATACTCGTGTCCAGGAACCTGGAAATCCAAGCCTGGCCAGGTCGAGCACGCCGTCGAGTTTGCTCTCAAGAACGGCTACAAGCTCATCGACACCGCCGCTGCTTACCGTGAGATCCCTCTGTTCGAGTAACATGCACATTCCTGAGCTCTATCTTGATGACAGAGAATGAGACGGAGGTCGGCAAGGGCATCAAGGCGTCCGGCGTTCCTCGCGAGTCCATCTTCTTGACCACGAAGTTGGACAACCCCGACCAAAAGAACCCGGACCAGGCTCTTGAGGATTCGCTCCGCAAGCTCGACACCCCTTACCTTGACCTTTGTGAGTGCGACCATGATCAGTTATGATGTTCGATTCACCAAGGCCATGGATGACTGTAGGGCTGATGCACTGGCCCGCACCCATGACCCGCGATGGCAAGGCGGACCCTTCTCATGATTGGCTTGATACCTGGAAGAACATGGAGAGGATTTACAAGGCGCACCCTGACAAGGTCAAGGCCATCGGTGTATCCAACTTTTCAGTGAAGTTCTTGGACCGCCTTCTTGCGGAGGCTACCGTGGTTCCCGCAGTCAACCAGATCGAGCTGCACCCGTACGTAGCTAATCAAAACACAGCGCAGCGATGGATTGGCTCATGTATCTTTCAGCTCTTGCCCTCAGTTCGAGGAGGTTGACTATTGCACGAAGAAGGGCATTGTGATCACCGCGTACTCGCCCCTTGGCTCCGACGGCTCCCCCCTTCAGGGGAACCCGATTGTCAAGAAGATTGCGGAGAAGCACGGCGTGCAGCCTGCCAACGTCCTCATCTCTCTTCAGGCCAACCGCCCCAACGTCACCGGTTCGTTATCGCTCAATCTTGTGAAGAGCGAAACCAAACTGATTGCCTTGTCGTCACTTAAGTCATTCCCAAGTCCGTTTCCAACGAGCGGATTCTCAACAACTCCAAAATTATCGAGCTCTCCAAGGAGGAGATCGATGAGCTGCACTCCATCGACAAGACACACCACTTCCGCGCGTGCCACCCGTCCTGGACTGGCTTCGGAAGTTTGGGTTTCTCTGACTGCGAGTAGATACGCCGCTCCAGCGATAGTGTAATATTAGAAGGGGCATGCGTTAAATGCGTGTGTAAGAAATAAGTGCTATATCACCGGGGTATTCATGTACTCGTACGTGGTGGCACACCAAAACGTATCTAGGGCACCACAAATCTGCCAGCAATAGCTCACCAGAAACGGCCAACACTTAGGACGCTCGCTCGACCCACGCTTGCAAGAACTCCGACGCCCTCCTGGATGGCAATATTGACGGGTCGCATGGGTTGCGAATCGAACACATGCGGCGTCGGCTGTGGGAGAGGCTCGCTGGTGAGCCGAGGCTGTTCGAGCTCGCGTTCGTAGATCGACGGCATTCGGGGACCTTGCGCGGCAGCCTCATACTGTGGCGAATCGTAGGCTTGACGCGCTGCTCTTAACCGAGAGAGCACCTAATGAACAATGGATCAGGTCGAGTACGCATACAGTATGTGGTCAGCACATTACCTGATCGTAGAATTGTATTTCGCCGTCCAGGTGATCCTTGGCGATGGAAGAAACGTCTTCGACTTTCTGCGCGTGGTACGCATCGATTTCAGCCATGGTGGTATTTAATACAGTCTCGCAGCGAGCTGCAACGTCTTCATCCGGCTGATGTATTCATTAGCGAGACACCTAACCAGCAGTACCTGTATCGGCTTACTCGTCCATCGTGCAGTGCTTGTTTGTATCGAGTTAAAGTCGACCTATGCGTGTCCAGCACGGGCTATCAGAATAAGGAACTGTCAGATCTCGCACGGTCCGGAGACTAACATATACGTACGGAATACATCGGTGAGGGATGTGCGACGTTCTTCAGCGCCTCATGCGTGCTAAGTTGCGTTCTCCGAGCCTGGAATGGAGTTATGGGCTAGCCGTCGCACGGTGAGATAGACAGTACATGGTCGTCATATAGGTCGGCCACGGTTTGCAGAGTATCGGCCGTCCGTTGCATCGCCTTGGTGAGCTTGAGACACTCTGCTGCCTATCAGTACGAAGCAAGCAGGGTGACCGGAAGAACCTACCTTCACAGCCCTCCCGCCAGCACCAGGCACCATCCTCATTCGTGAGGCCCTTAAATACGGGAGCCTGCACCTCTTCAGGATCCGTGTTTTTCGGTGTAGACGTTGAAGCGAGAGGCTTGGAGGTTATCATAGACAACAGGGAGTATGATAGCACTCGTTCTGCTTGTGACATGCCTATTCGGAGAATAAGCCATCAGCTAGCATGCATAAATAAGATGCAAAACTCACCGAGCCTGGCTTCACGCACCTGCCCAAAGACGTTTCGTAATGCTTGAACGCTTCTTCCGACAGCTCGAGTATGCGCATCAAACCTTTCCGCGGCTTCGGACGCCTCGTCAGCATCAAGGTTGAACGCAGGGTGATAGACGCGAGCATAAAAGCTTGGTCCAGCTGGAGGAAGCGACAAATGCTGCGATAACAGGTTCTTCCACTCCTGGATGAAGTTTATAGGACTATGAGAGAAGATCGACGTGAGATGCTCACCGGCTCATCCTCGCATGACAGGAACGATGTCAAGACTTCGGCATAGCGAACCACGGGGTGTCGCACAAGACGTGAAACGTAACGCTCAAGGTCGCCTCGACGAGCTTCCACGAAGTCGTCATTGAATCGCCCTGCATACTGCTTCTCTGGCAGAGGAGGAAGGACGATCCCAGGGAGCCTCCTCGTAAGGGCCGTATGTAAAGCGACGAAGTGGGAGAACCGACGCTGGACCGTGATGGTGGTCGAAGAGGCGCGAGAAACCTCTGACTCGACCTCGCCGTCGAGCCCCTCTTGTGTATCTCGGAATACTGAGGTCACGTTGTATACAATGTACGCTCCAGTGAGCACGGAAGAACGTTTGGATGGCGAGTGGACCAGGACGCGGAAAGTCGGTACTTTGGGTTCCCAGTGCAAACCGGCGTCAACGTAGTGCATGTCGCTGTCGCCACCAACAGACCTGCTGGCCGCTCCACGGTCACGATATACAGCAACACTGGCACTGGTCGTGTCTCTAAAATGCTGCGACGGAGGTGCGGGCGCGCTGCCTCGTAGAACCCATTCTTCCGCCCCGCTAGTCACGAATCGTGAGAATCGATTGAGGCTCTTGCCGCCAAAGAGACTCTGTCGGAAGCTCGGAAACATTCTGATCCATTCTCCAGTGTTTTGGGGTATTAATGGCAATCCAGGAGATCCAGCTTTGGGTGAACCTTTGGGGGTGATCGAGCCGGTCGACGCCTCCTTCTTCCTCGGTACGGGTTGAGGTACTTCGCCAGTTGGGGACGTGATGAAGTCATTGATAAACTACCGCGTTGTATTCCATGCATTACACGACCATGAAACGACGACAGGATGGGTGTACATACAGTATAATAGGATCGAGGGAGCAACCCGACTTCACGCCCACACCTCACAAGGCTCCAACCATCAGGTAGCTCTTCTTTGAGTACTTCGAGTGCGTTTCCTGCCGCGACCGTTAACTCGCGGAACTCCGCCTTGCCATCGAACGAGTAGAGCGCCCTTGCTGGCCGTCCTGCAGTGTCGTCGTAGTCAGGTTCGGATTCCAGCTCTTCGTCCGACAAAGAGCCGCCGATATCTGAAGCGCCCCGCTCCAAATGTTCAGTCCATGCGGTCGATGAATTGATCCCAGCATCGAAGTCAGATAAGGGTCGCGCGGAGGATAGCGCCGTGGTGAGAATGGCGGGCGCAAGACTGGCCGCCGGGGGGTTCAGAGGAGACTGGCCCCCAAGTTTCGTGGCCATGTAGACTCTTGGTGTGGTACGTGATCAAGTGAGTGCCGTTGCGAAACACCGATATGAAACCCGCTCGGACGACATGATGGTACTCAGTGGGAGTTCTCACAGTACCTTTACAGGCGACCTCAGCTCGCGCAGATTGTTTGCATTACGTGTAATTACTAATAGTCAAACAATCTCGACAGTGATGATGAAAAGCGACGAATGCATCCTATGTACTCGGTTTGCATCCTTGCATCGCGGCATGGCGCGCAAGGACAGCTGCGATATCTGGCTAAATGTCTTCACCCAAGAGTCTAACGTTCCCTCGGGTGCTTTGATAAGTCTGGAGCTGCGTTCACTAACTGTCACCACCAGGTTAGCGGGAAAGGAACTTTCGACCGGGACACTCACGAAAGATGCATGCAGTTCTTGCTGCTTAGGTGGCGAAGAACTGGCGAAGAATGAGTGGGAGTCACGAGTGGAACGGAACTGGGCAACACAAGATACCGATCTCTGCGATCAAACTGCGACTGGGCTAGTCTTCATCGTCGCTGACCATGATGATACCCGAATCTGCTGTGGGTTCGGGGCAGAACGGTTTGAAGGCCGATGATGTAGAAGAGGTCGGCGTTGGAGTGGAACTCCTTGCGGGAGCTGCAGACGATGACAACGCATCCATCGCGCTATCAATAGGATCAGATATCTTCCTCGTTGAACAACCCGCACAACGAACCGGCTGCGCTGGCGTAGTACGGCGAGGATCTTGTCCTTTTCCTCCTTTGTTCTCGCAGCACCGAGCTGCGCCATGAGCTGTTTCGTCTCCGCAATGTGCTGCTCAAGTTGCTTTTGCTTGTTGGCCAGTTCCGACAATTCTGAAGTCAAGGCTGACGATGGGCGAGGAAGCGTTGATTTGGCTGCGGGAGATCCTTGACGAGGATCATTCATAGCGCCTGACATTCCGGGCTTTTGCAGGGTTTGTATGGTTTCAGAGATGAAGGTTGTTGCAAGGATGTCCATGGAATTGGCGGATAACTCGGATGGGAGTTTGGTGTCTGCTTCGGTAAGGGGCTGTTCGGCGGCCGACTCCTCGTTCGTTGGTCGCAATCCAGGAGGAGAAGCGGTCTGCGTTTGCAGCAAACGCGCTTTCTTGCTCTCCAGGACCAAACGCCTCAAGTTGTCTTCCATGTGTGCTCTAGCATCAGCAGTTGTAGACGGCACTATCGATGAAGGTGTGCTGGTGTCGGGGGAGGGAGAGGGAATACCTCCTCCAGTGGCTTGCTCCGTCTGCATCATGCGGCGAAGGAAGGTAGGGCCTTTCGGGATGTTCTTCATTGCTCTCGGTGCTGATGGCGGCGTATGACTGGAGGTGGAGGGCGGTCGCACTCCAGTGTTGGCCGGCAAGTTGAGTGGAGGAGCTTGTGTCTCGATTTCCATCTCATATGTGGCGCCCGCGGGATCGCCTGACGTGTCAAGAACAGGTGAGACACCGCGAGAGGATGCTATGGACTGGGCGTCCGCAGGGTCGATATTCATATCTTCGCCTATATCTTGCGCCACTACCTTGGCTGAACTACCAAACAATTCAGGTGACGCCATGGAGGATGTCGCTAGATCCGTGTATGAAACGTCTCGAGCTGGGGCTCCGGAGGTGGAACCGGTCGAGGAGTGTGTTGGCGAATGGGTCAGAGTAGGTGGGCGATGTCCTGGAGCACCTAACGGAGGTGGATTCGTGGCGGAACCGGGAGGGTGAGGGTACGACGATGACACGGGGGTAGATATAGAAAAAACACCACCTCGGTGGCTGGCGTGCGAGGCCACCGACAATGCGCCATCAGCGGTTGCAGGTGATATTAGAGTGGCCACATCCTGGCCGCTACCCCGCTGAACGCTTTGTCCACGTTCAGGGGTCGGACCAACGCCCACTCCGTCCTGGATAGCCTCGGGCAAGGAATGACCATTCTGAGCTTGAGCAGTTGCCTCATCCAGCTTTTTCTGCAGTTTCTGTTCGCGTTGCCTCTGCCTTTTCAGCGCCTTCTTCGCCTTCGCCAGCGTGGTTTTGTCTGCGACCGCGGTTGTCGATGATGGTTCATCGATTTCTCCTTCCTCGAGTTCATCGGTGTCCATAGGATGGCCGATAGCAGGGGCCGGATGACCGACGTCCTGACGCGGAGCAGCCGGAGGCTCTAGCAGCGTTAGCTCCTGTGCTAAGGAACCGGAAGCAACGTCTTTTCCCTTGGCATCTCCAAGGGTTAGCAGGGAGGCTGGAACCGCGGGTGGTGCTTGGTGCACCCACTTGTCGGGCGGGGGCGCGTACCACCGCACGCGAATACCCGTCTTCCCGTCGTTGCCCGTCATCCGCGGACTACTGAACGCAGCTTGGGCCGTCTCGCGCGTCGGAAACTCTAGCAGCGCCTTGCCGCGGTCGTTCAGTTCCATATGCCAAGGCAGCACCTCTTCCACTCGCCGTGCACTGGTGGGATATTCCGGGAGTGACTTCGGCTCGTCGGGATGTTCGATGTTGTAGAGGCCAAAATGTACCGCGTGGCGGACCCACCATCGAAGGAACTTGATGTTCCGGACCTTCTTGGGGATTGCCTCCATAACCAGCGTCCGAGAAGGGTCGGGGTGGTACCGCTGAGTGCGAGTCTTCCCTCCGCGATCGTAGCCATACGTCCCATGGATAGGCTGAAAGAGGCCGTCGTCCGTGTCCGCGACCGTCGGCAAGCCAATGGACAACATTGCCTTCTTTAACTTGACCTTTGGCCCGGAAGGAACGGCCGTGTCGTGGCCGCTTATCGGTGAGTGGACGTCGGAGGCCGCCGGCTGGTGAGGTGGTATAGAAGGTCCAGGTTCCTGCACGAGTGGTCCAGGAACTTCGAAACCGGGGTTGAATGGCAAGCTGCCAGCAAAGATTCGAGCAGCCTCTTGAAAACCAGCAAGATTCATTGCCTCCAGTGCCATATGGAAACCTCGCACGAGAGCTTCCTGTACTAATGGATGTTGCAAAGCCGTCTGCATCTGTAACTCGGCAACTGACGGACCAGAGCTAGGCGGGAACGCAAACGGTAGCGGCAGTAACGGAAAGAAAGAGCCCGCGATACCTCCCATGAAAGCCGTATCTGTCTGTGAAAGTGAAACCGCTTGCTGGTGTACGAATGAGGCAGCTCCCATAGAGTTCCCTTCCGCGGGCGGTGTATGCCCACTAATTAGAGGAGCATTCGGCGTCAGGGGGTTTGGTAGTAGAGCCCTTGAACCTGCAGAGTTCGATCCATGGGTACCGTTGATAGTTGTTCCGCCAGGTCGGGCCGTATATTCTGAGAGACCAGTCTGAGTGATGCTAGACGTAGGATGCGCTGGAGGTCCTGATGATAAGTGCGAATTTACTCCTGCACCAGGGTCCGCCACGCGATCCTGCGAGTTGTGAAGATCTTGCTGTGAAGGTCTTCGGGTATTCGTTTCGTTTGGGGATGGCGGTCGTTCTTCTGAGTGCTGCGGCGATATTTCCGCGTTCCTTGCTCGTTTTTGCACCTGCAAATCGTGCTTCCTGGATGTCGGTCTTTCAGCCGATGTTGACCCTTCCGCATGTATTTCAACGTCGCGTTTGCGTTTGATTCCAGCGTTTTGCATTGTATGCGGGTCTAGGTTCGAGATGTGAAAGCTCGTGAATTATACCTCCAAGCAAGGGGCAATGAAGAGCGAGGGCGCACCCGCAATTGGCACATCCGACTTGCTCGCTGCCGAAGTAGAGTGTACCGCGTCGGTTGATACCTCGTTCTCGTCGTCGGAGATGACTATAGGATACGAACTAGAGCCTTCGAACGCGGATGCCATGGTCCTTAGGAGCCAACGCTAGCTTAATTTACCCCGCTGAGGTGAAGCCGCGCGGCAATACGCGAGCAATGCGCCAGTACAACGCTGTATTGATTACACGTGACCGCTCATTGAACATTGAGTCGGCTACCTCGATAGCCCCGCTCCGGATTCATGGGCACTTCGTTCCCATACGCCTATTTAAATTCTGCTGCTCGATATATTTCTGAACCCGAAAATGCATCGATGGATCCTCGAACGTCTCAGAAAACGCTGCGCGTCTTGTTTTGATACCCGGCTTCCCATCCTCATGCTCGACCCCTCTCACAATCCTATTCTCGGGGCGCCATGCCCGCGCTGAGAAAAACGGTCTGACGCGGGCTGGCTTTCTGTCCGCGAACGGCACGTACCTGCCGAAGATATACTATGCGATGTCTAATAGGCCGCGGGGTAGAAAAACATCGAAGCCTCGTGTGCTGCAACTGTCGTCCTACCTCACCAAGGATGTCGCCATCGACGCTGCTCTCCGCGGTTCTGGTCACCTCTGCGGCCCTTACGGTTCGCGCACAGACATATAGCGCGACCTATTTGCCGTCGAACGCACCGGCGCAGTCTGAGCAAGGGCAGTCGGGAACTAACCAATGCAGTTCCACGTCCAGTCAGACATCCAACTGTCAGAATGTGTTCAGTGAGTGCGATGAGTTTCCTGCTCGCTATAATATGCTGATATGGTACAGTGAACGCTGTCGACGATTTCTGCCTGTTCGCACCTCCTGAGCCCGGTGCAAACGCTACCATTGGAGATACCGAGGTAAGATCGCACGACGACGTCTCATTGCGCGCTGTTTGTGACGTCTCCGCAGCGGATAGAAGTTTCGTGGTGCATCAAGGTGTGTGCCGTTGTGTGCATGGTTCAAATCAATTGTAACGGATTCTCTCGTTTAGGATGGCCATGGAACCCGTCTCATCCCAGATGGTGCTATCACAGGCGCACATTTTGTGCAGACGCCGGACTACGTTCAGGTCACTGGTATGAAATTTCCGGAGATCCTGGGTATCTTCTGCTTGATATGTTGATCCGCAGGTATGGGTGATTTGACGAAGCTCAAGATTCCCTCTGGCGATAGCGGAGGGGAACTTGATCCTCACGGCGCTGATGGAAACGGTTAGTCCATCACATGGTTCAGTAAAGACTGAATGTCGAAATCTGGAGTATAGGCAACCCGATCGGCGGCCTCGTTTTCTCGAGTGCATTTGGACAACTGGCGCAAATGCACGAATGGACGGTGAGGCGTTCCCGTGTGCATATACGCGCGAAACTGATGTTTGCTTCATCAAGAACTTCATGTCGGACACCCTCTTCTGCTTCAGAGCTTGCAAAGACGGTTTGTTTGATCCATATCGACGTAGCGTGGCTTGATTCAGCATCTCTGCAGGTCCTATGGCGCCCGCGTTGTGCAACCACATCTACGACGTGTTGGGTTGCTTCTGGAACATGCCGGCGGACTACGACGCAGGTGTTTTCGAGCACTGCCAAGGAGACTCCGGCGAGGTAAATTTCGATCTCGTCAAATTTATCTACACTCAGCTGAACACGGTCTCATAGCCGATGGGCGTGTACGGGACGTCTACGTTCTTCCAAGGCGAGCCCGTAACGCCGTCCGCCCACGCGGCGCCGTCCTCGTCGCTGTGCACAACCCTGTCGACCATCGGCAACGGATTCGCTATCTCGGGAACCAGCGTGATTTCCTCCGCTGCCTCGTCAGGTACCGCGTCCGGTGGGTCTTCTTCCTCCGCCTCGTCGACCGCACCTCCCTCGTCGTCGTCGTCGTCATCCGCTTCTGCGTCCGCCACCTCTACGACGACAGGATCCTCTTCGTCTTCCGGTTCCAGCGAGCCCGACTCGTCTGTACGGTCGACGCTGACCTCGTCCACAGCCTCTGGCTCCGGGTCCGCTTCGGGCGCGACGCTCACTACCCCGCCCTCGGGCAGCGGGACCGCTAGCCCCAGCCAGACGGCGAGCGCTGCTATCGCCGTCCTGCCCATGCAGTTGGGCTTGTACTTGGTACCCATTTTCGTTGCCGTCGCCACGGCCGGCTTAGTGATGTTGTAGTTGTGTGAGCAACGGACGCTAGTATCGGACTGTACATGGACATTCCTGCTTCCACACGATGTACATCGCTGTGTCTACCACATGCCTAGTGTAATGTTTCGACTTTGTGAACAGGTCTAATCATTAATGTGCGCGCTGTTGACATCTTCAGCTTGACTCCGCAGGAAGCCGGATCATGTTTAAGGAAGGTTTGCGTGTTATGCGGACCAATGGCACGTAAAGACGACGTTTCTTCTGCAGGAACTTCCTGCCGTGGCATGCCCTTGGTGGAGGGATAACGGTGGAGAGAAATGGGCTGCGTACACCTCGAGACAACAGACACCGGTAGCCCGGGAATCATACGCTGAAGCAGGATCTAGCTATCCTTCCCGTCTTCGCCTTTCCCTCTCTGTATCAACCCAACTCCGGTGATAGCGCCCGCGGCGAGGACGTCGGCGGTCTTGCGGCCTTCCACACGCTCCTTCTCTGCTCTACGCTCGAACTCGTTGCGAACCTGCTGTGCGCGAGCAATCTGCCGTAGCACATCGTTGTGAGTGCCTTTGGGCGCAGGAGGATGCAGTGATTCAATTTACCTCCTTCTTATGATGCAGGCATTCAATGTAGTCCTCCTTCTGGGGGACGCACTGTTGAGGGTGGTCGGTTTGGGAGTAGCACTATGTCGGTGACGGAAGGTTGTCAGCATGATCTGAGGTGATATAGAGCAGCATACCTTCTGGAACTCCTGCCAGTATGCGAAGCAGCGAGGCACGCCTAAAAGTGAACGTCATGAGCGGACTAAACCACGAGGGCTGGGGTTAACTAAGCACCTCCATTGAACCCAAATCCTGACTAGAAAGCAATAATTTCAGTAGCTGACGACCAGAGAGCAGCCGTAAGACGCACGGCCATAGCTATAAACCACCCGAGCGCGATGAAGACAAGCCGGAGGTCGTGGTGAAGCTTGCAGCCTCGGGCTCGCGGCGGCAACTGCCGGAGACAGCGAACGTGGAAACCAATATCCCAAACAGGCATCACGTCGTCGGGCCAATCGCGAATGCCGGTACCGTGCGCAATCTCCCAAGCGCATGTCTTCTGGCGTCGCTCCAAACTCTCCTCGGCGATGCTCTGCCCACCGTCATGGCCCTCGGATCCGGCCAGCAGTCGTCCTCGACGTCCTCCGGCCATGGGCCCACCCCCACCCCCGCCTCGCCGGTGTCCAGCGTCGACGCCAGCCCAACGAAGATGCCTGGCAACATGTCCGAGTTCACACCCGTCCAATCTCCCGTACGTGCACGGGTTCCGTTATCGTCGACGGCGGACTGAACGTGCTCGTGTGATCGACCGATATGAGTAGCCTTTAATCCTCGCGTTTCTTGCTATAGGCGTCTTTTTCCTCGGTCAGGCATTCCTGCTTTCCGAGCAGTGTTAGAAGGTCTCACAAGCACATCCAGGGAGCTTGATGTTGTTCGGACTACGGCGCATGCGCATGGACCGTCTCAGGGTCGCTCGCAACAGAGCTGGTCTGGCTACCCTGGACCTCGGCGATAAAACGCCATTGGAGAGGCCTATCATATGGGATCGGTGGACCGCACGTTTGAGTGCAGAACCCAGTACACCATGGCATAGCTTGATGGTGAGACATATCATTCGCTCTTTGACACGCCTGGCCAACATCTGATCTGGCGGCTATACAGCCTCTTGCAGCTGCTGTGAAACCCCCAAGGAACAAGGCTAAACCGTCGGTTACCCCGACCGTTTCGCGCACGAGAACTCCACGTTTCCGACATCTTCTGCGTCGTAACGTACGCGATACCTTTCGCCTTCATTGGGCCAGATCAACTGGACAGCCTATACCACCGTTTCTCTCCGCACCTGTAATCCCTTTGACAGGCATGACGACCTCCGAGCGCGCTCCGAACCGCAACAAGGTGGACATCTTCACGAATGTATCAGCCAAAGAAACGGACGATACACGCATTCGCATCGCATTCGCCATCCTGATGCCTTGCCAACATCGTACACGCAGTGACGACAATTCTGCCGTCGGCGAATATAGCATCGGAGTTACCGACCTCCCTTGCGGTGTCAACGAAGCTGAAAAGCTCCACGAATTGGATCCAGCATGACCTTCCTCACGACCATGACTATTAAAGTCCTGTATTACTAGCGTGTACTATCTGGGGTAATGGATGCATTCATGGGTATCGGAACCTCTTTTTCCCTGCAGAATGTTTTGGGAACCTCTGCAATGGCTGTCAACTGATTATTCCACGGAGTCCCTGACATCGAAGGGACGACCTCAAAATGTTTTCCATGAGTCAAAGCTAGAACGCCTCATGCACCGGTCACCGCGCCGTTCATTGACCTGCCATGCCCGTAATGCCAACTTGGTCACGGATCTGCGTAACGTACCGGTCAGCAGGAAGAAAAGGCAATCGAGGCGCCATTCGACGGACCTTGGCAATCTCATGAGGACTGAGATATCCTTTGTTGGACGACAAAAAGTTCTCGAACGCCTCCGAGACATCCTCTTCTTTCGGAAACTCCGCTCTGAGGATCAACGAAATCAGCAAACTCAACGACATCGCACGACTGATAGTAATCCCACCTCAGGAACGCATACAGCCGCTCCCAAAACGCAGGATCGGATATCTTTGCATGATACTGCGAATGGGGCGGTCCCCCGGTCTCAGACGCGGTCGGGATCTGGGATGTATCGAACGTGAGGGCAATGTCCACCGATTTCTCCTCGCCGGGTGAGCCAGACGGCGAGGGCGTCAGCACGACGGACGGGATGCGCTGGTGGCCCCGTTTTCCTGGCGCGCTCGGTTTCGCGTCCGTCGACATATCGGTCTTGGTGATGAGTGGCGGCGGGGCAGGTGTGGCGGTCTCCTTCGATGGGTCCCAATCGGCGCCGGGCTTGACCATGAGTGTGATCGTGTCGCCGTCCTTAACAGAGTATTCCTGGAGGAGCTTTCCGTCCGCGAGAGCTTTGCCTTTGAGCAACAGTCTTTGGGCGTCGGCGGGTGGTCCGCGCGGTTGTTGCGCGAGCTGGGATTTGACAGACGAGATGGCGTCGGCGGGCGAGACGGTTAACGTGAAGGTCGCTGGCGGCTTCACGGATTTTATGGTCACACTAATCGTCGCTAAAGGAAGCTGCGGTCAGGGAAAGCTGTAGAAATTCGGTACGCGTGATAAGACGTGCTCACAAGAAGTCGAGGCTGTAGACTGGGTCTTGCGCTCAGGCGGCGCCGGGACCTCAACCTGGCAGTATTTCAACGTTAGAACTCCGGACACGACGAAGCGGCGCCGATCGCGCACGGCGGGTGGAGACTGTGGACGTACGTACAGGCACGGTCGGGACCTTCTTCAGCCAGTTCGACGGCGGTTGTTGGTAATCGTCCGGGTAGTTGACGGGGATCGTCGACAGGTTCGACGCAAACGTCTTGATGAACGCGAGTTCTGCCTGATCTGACATGTTCGCGGTGGTATGTCGTGTTTCTGTTCACTGGGAGGCTGTGGGTCTGACGAAGGAGGAGGCTGTGCAATACGTAGGGCTGATCATGACATCAAGTTTCAGGGATCATTGAACAGTCTATCAGGAAGTATCGGAGCCCTCATGCGTACCGAATTGTGCTGCTGTATACCTTAGAACAGGCGAGTTCCTTGCTCAGAATCCATCGTTGGCTATGTAGATGCCCACGATACACGTAGTACATCACGGCTGATAAGGGGACGGCGCACGTATTCCAAGCAACGATGTCTCACGTATCTCAAACAGAAAATACAGTCGTACTACACCCGCAGCTACCACCGTGATAAACGCTGCATCGCAGCACCCCGAAGCTCGCCGCATCCTATCATCCATGTGATCGCGTCCGGTGGAGGGCGTCGACTTGTGGCGCATCGTGCAGGCGCGACCATATTGGCCTGTATGGGCACAACGATTGAAGAGGCGTTGCGGAGGACTTTGAAGAAGGACCCTGTGTATGGCATGTCCTATCTTCATCAGCAACTGGAGTGCGTGTGAGACCGCGCAAGAAGCAGGTGCGAGCGTCCAGTCATAGGCCCATATAGCTTCCCGTGGCACCTCGAGGGGAAGCTTCTAGGGGTCATGCCAGTGTAAAGGACGACCATGGAACAGCGTGCGAGCTCTTGACGTTGCCCAGGGTCTTCGGCAGATCGCCGGATCGCCGCGTCCTAGAGCCATCCAACCACGGCCTGGGAGGCGATCTACGAGTTCCGACCTAAGGCGCCACCCAGCTCCGCCATTCACCGCGACTCATGACGCTAGACGCCCAACGAACGACCTTCCTGACGTTGCGCGCAGGGCCCACGGACGACCGCACTGGCCCGCCTTCCCTGACTCGCCCATCCATGCATGACCACGCCGGCTGCGCGAAATCAAGACCAGACGGCAATACACGTCTTGTGTTCCTCCGAACTCGTGAACGACGAGCCGCGTAAGCAGCAAGCTCTTCTCTCCGCGCTCGCTTCTCGCTGTCGCGCGTTTTGCGCTTGTGGGACTTCCTAGCTGTCTTACGCTCGTCGGCGTGAGCCTTGGCCTGTGCGGCGAGCTCTTCTTGGCACCTCTCATACTCCTCATGCTGTCTCTCGAGCTCCTATGGAGGACCATGAGATACAGGCGAAAATACGCATGGAGAGTAGAGCGCGTACCACACGAGCTGCGAGGGATGCTTCCTGGTCAGGATCCGCGCCCGGCAGGCCGTAACCTTTTGGGCGCTCCGACGCGGACAAACCGAACCATAGCGAATTCAACTCGCGCGGAGGCGACACCCTCTGATAGTTGTAAATGTAATCCTGCCACTCATCACCAGGCGAAGAGGGAAAAGGCGTTTCTGACGGCCTCGGTCCCTCATGCACCTGCCGACGCGACTGCGGAATGGTAATATCCTCCATCGACCTATCTTCTGCGAGTGGCTTTGGGCGCGTATAGCTCGCGAACACATTGATCGTGATGGAGGTTGGCGTGGAGAAGGAAGTAGAGGACGGAGGTAAGAAGGTATTGGTAGAAATGGGAAAGAAGGAATCGAAAGAGGTCGAACCAGCTGTCGGATAAGAAGTGGTCGTACTCGTAAACGCCGCGAACCCGTCGTTTCCCGACTCGGGAGCGTGAGTATCCATCTCGACGTCATTGATATTCGGCTCTCCTGAGCCACCCGATGCTGTTAGGGGAGCGGCAGATTCGGAGAAGAGCATCTCTTCCACCATCTCTTCGTCAAGGATCTCTTCAACGCGAGGACGAAGATCGGCCTGACCAAAGCTCGCCCACGCATCAGTGTAAGGTGGTTCAAGACCGAAGTAGTTCGATGGTCCACCCATGGACTGGAATGAAAAGGCCGACGCGAATCCCTGCGGCCCAGCCGAGTGATCAGCGTCCATGACCGCGGGTTCGGGTGCTTCGTGCATATCTGGTACAGCGTCCATATCGACATTTTCGAGAAGTGTCGGTAGGTTCATTGTGATCTCGAAGCCTAGGACCCGACGTTGCCTGAGCCACACCGCGGCCATCAGTATCTAATAATGGCAATGGTTTGCCAACGCGAGGGCTCACAATTTATGCAATTCGTGGTCTTGCTTGGTAAGTGGCCGCCTACTTATGGGTAATCGGGGGCGAAGCCAACGGGGTTTATTCTTCTGTAGATGAACGTCGATCCATGAATGCATTCACCCAAGCGTGCAACTCACCCTGAGCATAAATCGACGCGTCAGGCTGCTTGAGTGATCACTACGGCGATATCGCTCGATAGTGGTGGGAGTGATTTGAAAGGATTGAGAGCTGTCGAAAGGTTGGTGAACGCTCTTGTAGGCCACTCGGGGCGATGCTCCGAGGTATTGTTCTGTGCTTTGTTGGAGTGGCACATGCTAGCCGCGAGGTCGCCAGTGCCGAAAGGGCGAATAAGAGTATTGTCCAGTGAGACAAGACCATGCACACGACGACATTTCGAAACAGCAGTTGCTATGCTGAGAGTCAAGCAAGGCATACGTTCCGATACGCATAGAGATGCACAGCAGACGAACAGCGTCGAAGAACGTGTAGGGGAAATATTCACACGCCACGGTTGCTACTGCCTTTGCGCTGACGCTGATATTGATTCGCCTATTCTTTCGTGCTGGCTTTCACCTTGTTCCTGATCACGATTAACGTCGTTTATCAGGGTGTATGAGCAACGAGTTTGCCAAATAGTGCTGACACCTTTGCCAGTGACAACATGTGCTCATAGCTCCATCCGTGTCGAATGTGTGTGATCGACAGCCCAGGACTTGGTCATCGGGGGATAATCTTGTTCACGTCCTCTTCGATTCATGAATTTCATGATAAAGCGGGTTTGTTCATCCCGG